AGGAGGCAGCCCCTTCCCCATCTACCTGCACAGGTGAGTCGTCGTCCCCCCTTCCTCCTCCTCCTCCTCCTCCTCGGGCATTATGATAATCATTACAGTCACCATGAGGAAGATTTATTTATTTACCTCAACACTTTGCTCGTCCATGGTTCAAAAAGCGCCCCCCTCAGGCGAACCGGGCCGGGGTGGGGGGGTAAAAAAAAAACCACCACCAACAGTCACCACCGGAGCTTCCCCGCCGCTTCCTCCGCCTCCGCCTCAGCCGCGGCGTCTCTGAGGGAAAATGAGACTCATTTTTCCGACTTTTTATTAGAGAGATGAGGATTGAAAGAGAGGAGGGGCGTCGCCCCCATCGTTGGGCTGCCTCTCAACGCGCATGCGCACGGGCGCCTCTCTCGCCCCCCCCGCACAAAACCCCGCGCCTCACGGCCCTCCTCCCTCTAAGGCTCTTTTCATATTACAACCCCCTCCGCCCCTTCTGAGGTAATAATATGTGAGGAAAATAAGTCGGAAAAGGCCGTTATTAACGAGGGAGAACGAGAAGGCAGCAGCTGCCTCACTGCGCATGCGCCCGCCTTCGGCGCCGCGCCTCAGGGGACGCTGCCGCATTTAAGGAAACCGGCGAGCCGCCGCGCGCATGCGCCGCCAGGGAGGTGGGTGGGGGGTACCCGCGCGAGCTACTGTAGTAGGGAGAAGAGCTGCCGCGCGCATGCGCCGCCGTCTTCTCTCCTTTTTTTTGGCCACCCAAATGTTGGGATTGCATTAGGTCGCTGTCCTTAAAAATAAAATAAAAAAATCCAAAAACCCTCTAGTTTTTGGTAAAGGCAGAGGAGGAACTTCCGGGTCCCTTCACGGGCCCTTTCCTGGCTCTTCCAATTTGGTTTGATCCTCAACACCCTTTAACTAGTATTATTAGTCTAGGGAGTGCAGGATGATGGAGGCTGGCAATCCTGCAGCCTTTGGAGGGCCGCCGATTGCCTGTCCTTCCTCCAGGACAGATGCACCACCATGGTTCGTCCACAAGGATGATGGAATAGCAAAAGCAACGATCTAAGATCAGAATTTTTTTCCAAAACAGTTCAACAGCTCAAGAGTGCAATGGGCATTATTACCCCCACCTCTGCAGATGCTGATTGATGGTTCAGATCCCAGCAGTTATCCATAATGGGCAATTTCTGAGCTTATGGTTATATCTCAAAAGTTACAATGAGGAGCAATTTCCTCTGTATGTGTTTTGTGTGTTCCATCTGACATCCTGCCAACTGGATGTCAAACAAGCACCCTGCATTTAATGCTACAAAGGATCCACTTATGTTTAGAAAACGTTAGTGTCTCTCTGGAATGGGGCTTCGCTGACCAAGCACATTCAACTTGGATCATCCTGGGGGAAAAAAAACATCTGGCTGCTTTATGGGGGAGCGATGTTGCAGGCCAAGCAAAGAACGAACCGTATTTAAATACAGTAAATGGGATTTCTTCCCGCACAGAGACTGCCAGGAGCAGATGGCCGTCTTCCTAACTTCATTTACCTGGAAGTAAACACTCATATTGAACTGAAACAGGACTGACTTCCAAGGAAACATAGCTAAAGCCAAGGCACAAGTTAATCATTTTAAAAAAGGTGTCTTGAACACAGAGATGGGTGTTAGCCAGTAGTATATCAAACAGACCAAGAAAAATAGGAAGAATTTTAACCTCAATTACTCAACCACGGTTACAACCCTACACTGTCACTGGGGAGTAATTCCCTCTGGACACAATGAGACTTACTTCAGAGTAGTCATGGAGAGAGTGGTCCCATATGAACGCCAGCCCTAAGAACACAAATAAAACCCATCGCTAGACTAGCACCTTGGCAGCAATATAGAAGAATTAATCAAATTAACAAACAAAACACAGTTTTCTTAAATGCTGACAACTACTCATATCAACGAGCATGTAACAGACCCTCTTTCAAGCATCTTTTATCTTACCAGGGTGACGCTGGAACCTTCCTTCCACCCACCCATCCCCCCAAAAAATCCGGTTGGAGCTTTGATTCGTAACTGCCTCAATTGCTTCTCATCACACTCAGCGCTTCAGATGGTCAAGTTATGTCAACATGAACAGAACGGCTGTTGTCACAGTATGTTTTGCAGCTTGGTAGCTGGGAGTTACGAGACGCTCCCCGCAACAAAGCTTTCACCAGATCTGTCGGAGAAGAGGGTGTGGCTTTTCCATCTCTTCCAAGGAAACAAAACCGCTAGAGGTTGTTCCATTGCTTCTGGATGAGATTTCACTGCAGTGCAGTAAGGCTGGGACATCTGCTGGGGATGGGTTTGAAGCCCCTTCCTGCCCTTGCAGATGCCAAAATCCGCAGATGATAGCAAATTCTATACAGAGCATGGTCTCTGGCTCCTTCTAGTGGCCAGTTCTGGTAACTTCAGGAAATACATACGTATTTCTCTCACTTTTTTCATTTAACAGTACTGTATTTCCAGACCATGGATAAGTGAAACCGTGGACACTGATCCTGCAGATACAGGCTCCTATTGTATCCCTGAACCATTTGAGTCACTTGGCGCTACTTCTTAGTCAATTTGAATTACTTTACAGGAATTGTACTTTTCTCAAGGGCGCACCATGATTCTTCTTGAAAACAAACATCTGAACAGACAGACACACAGTAATAATTCACAGCAAAAGCCATTCGACAACAACCAGTGGTGTGATGGTAAATCTGGAAGTGTGGATGTTCCTTGGGGCTGCCCACCCCTACAGCCTGTCCATCCTATAAAGAGGCAACTGGATCTCTCCGTATTGGCAAGTGAAAGGCTGGTCTTTTGTAAAGTTAATGGCTCTTATTATATATTCAAGACCAAAACTACCCAAAAGTTTGCATTACACCAGGGATAGCTTGCAACCATGTACTCTTCCTGGGAAAATCCATTTTTCTCCTAGCCATTCTCCCAGTTCCTGACATAAGAAGCAAAACAGGGGATCATGAGGGGAGGAAAATTAGTGACCAGATGAAAAGGATACAAATATACCTTTATTCTTTCCATTTGTTTTAAGTTAAGGAAAAACTCTTGGACTTCAGCTACAGTTTCAAAGTTCACACCTATGGCTTTGAAATATACCAAAAGAAGCATCTCAATACATGGAGTTGTACAAGACGGTAAGATAGCAGAGATGGGTGGCTAGAGCAGAAGCCCAAAGTACTGTAGCCCCAGGGTACTTTTCTTGGACGAGTTCTGCTAAAGCTCAGCCACAACAAAAGGCTGCTGAATTCCTTAAAACAGGCTGGGCTCAATCAGCTGCACCACCTCTTTGCCCTGCAGGAGGGGGAAAGACAATCAGATGATGATCATCATCCCCCCCAATGGATTAGACCACAGGTTTCAGCACTGATGTCGCATTTCAGAAACAGACCACCTAAAAAAAGCCAGCAACAGACAAGTTACTCCCTACTTTTAAAAGGCATGGAATGTACAATTTGGAAATCTCACTCTATATCACAGAGTCCATGATGCAACATTTAAAATGGAAAAAAAACTGTTTGGAAGTTATTCCACAGCAATAAAGATGCACTTACAACCAGTAGCACACTTGAATATCTCTTTCATTATAATTGTGTTTTTCGGTTTGGTTTGGTTTTTAATGGCATGGGACTGCGTTTTTCTCAATTGGTTCTGCTTGTTGAAGCGTATTGTGAGTGGGATTCCGAGCACTCTAAGGACAGAATGAAAATATTTAGTTTAAATATAGTAAATACATGTTGCTCTCTGAGTGGGTACAGTTTAGCTGGGTGGACGCATCTTTCACAATTTAAGCCTCAATACAGGCACAACATCGACACCACCAGCACATCAGTCTCCATCACAGATACATTACTCATCAAACAAGGCTATAGAGCCTATGTACAACAGAAGGGGAACAATGAACAACCACTTTTTTAAAAATCTGCAAACATTTACACGTATAAAGTTATGGCCTCGTTTGTCAACTTCGATCTGCTCTTTTTGCAGTTTCCAGCGTAGCATCAGTGGACTTCAGGTTCCTCCAGACAATTCTGTGGACAAAGAATGCAAGCATTTAAAAAAATAAAAAAACCTTTTTAATCGAAAACTTTGGTTTCGAAGAAGCTGATTTTGGCAAAAGGCCAAGAGAAAGAGCAAAGATATATATATATTTTTAATGGTTATCTCCCGTTCACAGACAAACAGTAACCCCCCCGAGTTACTCAATACTAAAGCCGGTTTCTCAGCATCCGACTTAAACCTGTTTCGCGGGAAGGTCCGTTTCTTCCGGAGTCTGCAGCATTAAGTGTTGCATTGCCAGCTGTTCTTCTTCTGATAGAGGAGAAATCTAGGGGAAGGGAAAGAGAGTAACATTATACCCGGCAATTTTATGTATACAAGAACCTCACAGAGAAGGTACTCTACCTCAGAACTGCATGACATACTTTTAGTGAGTCCCAAGAACGTCCCTGCCTTACAGAGGCTTGTCCATCTTGCTTTTCCATCCCAGAACCTGCCAGCGTTTGCAAACACGCAGAGGTAGAGTCCAGGGTGAGGATAAGATGGATCCAGATGTAGTGGAAGATCTCGGGGGGTGCGCTCTGTTGTACAGCTGTAGGATTTTTCCAGATCTTGGCACCCTCTTCGTAGGGCAATGCTAAACTAATATGGATTGAAAATGGACCTCTGATGGAAACAGGAAGCCAACATCTGGAGGGCACCGGAGAAAAGGCGGGTCTAATGAAACTATCTGCCATGGGCTGAGGTATGTGTCTTCCCAGAAACAACTCTCATGGAGAAAACCCGAAAATCCCTTTTGTGAGGGAGATGTGTTTGCTCTCAAGCAAATAAATTGAAAGCCTTACCTCCATGCCGGTGTGGTGTTGTATCTCCTGGACCAGCTTCACCGTCTTCGCAAGAGTGGCACGGATGGAGCGCATGGATTCCCGTCGCTCGAGAGAAATCTTTTCTAGCTGCTCACACAAGGTTTTGTAGCGAGACTTCACCATGGATAGCTGCTGCACGAGAACCACCGGGTTTTCCTGGAATCGGGAAAATGGGATCAAAAGGATTCGTTTTAATTGATTTGGGCACATTTCATCCTTAGGAGAAGGAGAGTAACTAATAATGGCATGCTGTCATGTTGTTCCAATGGATGGCAACTCGGGGGGGGGGGTTAGGTAGAGGCTGCTTCAGAGTGGTTGACCCTCCCTTCTTCTGGGGGCCGGCCTGGGAATTTACAGCTTACTCAAAGCCATACAGGCTGGCTCTTCTCCCAAAATATACATGGGGAATCAAACTGCCAACCCCTGGCTCCACATCCAGCTGTTCCAACCCACTGAGCTATCTGCTTGTTTTAGAGGAGGAAAGGAGCAAGAAAAGTAACACCCTGGGTTGTCCGATTCCAGAAGGACCAAGGAGATGCCAACCAAGGAGTCTTAACTTCTTGGATCTGGTGTGCCAAGGGCAAGCTATTTGTAGCACTCCAGAGATGTTGCTGGGCTACAACTCCCATCATGCTTGGCCATGCTGGCTAGGGCTGATGGGGGATGTAGTCCAACCACAGCTGGACAAGCCACAAGTTCTCCACTCAGTGCTCTAGGACCAAAGAGTCTGGCAGGCTACAGGTCTTCCTCCGACTGTCTCAATGACCACCTGCTATTGCAACCCTCTTCTGCCCCAACCAAGGACGGAAGGGAGAGAGGCAGATATCAAAACAGAGAGACATGTGCGTCTGCTCAGCTTTAAAAAACTGGAAACCCAGAGGGCAGAGGGGACCAGCTGGATGTGAGGGCAACAAAGAAGAGACATCAATTCTCCATTTGATCATAGTTAGACAGCCTCCTGGACGCACACTTTCTCCACCTCTGACGGCTTTTGTCTGCTCTGCACAGATGGCCAATCTGCTGAAGTTCACTCCCAAGTGCACACAACGTTTGCTTTCCAAACCCATCGCCAAGACCTTAGGAACTGCCATTTTGAAGAGTGGCCGGCCTCTCCAGAGTAGGATTCCAAAAAGGTCTATGGGAGAAAGTGAGCAAAGCAATGCAACAGATAAACCTGGGTGCATGCCAATCAGAAATAGTTATGGATTTTTAAAAAAAAACAACACACAGGTGGCTTAAAATGCATCAAAATCTACAACAGCCTCAGATTTTAAGGCCTGAAGGACAAATTCTTTGTGAGCCAGGGTTTCAAAGCTTAAATCAAAGTACGGTACCTCTTGAGACAGTCCATCGGGGAGACCTTTCATCATTTCAAATTCCAACATCGCCTTGATGTAATCCAGATCTGATTCGGCTTTCTGGAACTGAAACACCCCATACGGTCAGTCACAACCCTCACAATATACACGTGGAACTAACCACCCCAACTGTATGTCTCCAGGTAACTTTGCCAGGCCAGAACCTCTGGTAGGAAGGAGGGCAAAGTAGGGGAACCTTCTAGAATCTTTGTGAAACCATCAGACATCACAAATCTTACAGCAATACTGGCTGGTGTTTGTTGTTGTTTTTTTAAAGAGGTGGGATTGATTCTGGAAGATGGAACAAGATGGCAGCATGAGAATCAAGGACGTGTTTGAAGAAATGGTCAGGTCCAGACATCAGATTCTACCAGATTCTACGGAGTACACAAGTTTGCAGCAAAGACGCCGTGTGAACCACCCTTTGTTGTCTCCCTGAATGGCCCCGTTGTTAAATTCACACAACCCAAAAGGTCCTATCTTCAAACTGAAGCACAATTTGGGTCGTGCCCCTATGCCCGGCCTCAGGTGCTCCCATCTGCAAGGGGGGAGCGGATAAAAAAGAGGAACAAGGAACTTTCCTTACATCAAGCTTCGACTTGTTCCCTCCTGCCCACCAACACACTAGCAGGGGAGGGGAAAAAAACATAAAAGAAGTGGTAGATTCTTTCTCTGGCTTGTTGGGAGGAAAACAAGCCTGAACAGCAAACTATTGCCAAGCTCCAAGGACACAATAAACAAACCACAGATCTTTGCTCTGTGATGATGTCGGCGCTCCTGCGCGAGTGGAAGGGATCGTGAAGGAGGCACCAGCACGCCGGAAACCCCGGCTCCCTCGTGCTCCTCACTGTTTCTAAATGCTGCCTTCCCTCCTCTTTGGTTGCCCAGACAATGAGGGGGGAGACGCGCCAGTCCTTCTGGGTCTCTTAAGTTAAACTTTGGCCAAAGCAAGCGAGTGCATAGAGATGGATCGTCCTCTATAAAGCGAAGCACACATCCAGAGATGGTTAGGGGGGGGTGCACAATACAAGGGTGCAGGCACTGCGACACAGATGCTGTTGTGGATCTTTGGAGCTGAGAATCGAAGCCTAGCAGGCGATGCCAGGGTTGTCCCGATTTTCATCTCTTTCAATGCAGAAGGGGGCACACGGATCTTCTGACTGCCCTGTTGCTCAGCCTTTTAAAGCATCATCTCATGTGCCGGGCCCTGCCAGAATACACCCACCCTCTTGTCCTTTCCTGTCTTATATGCTGTTCCTATAAGTGTAGCAGAGTGTGGGGGGGGGAGGGCGCTTTTTAACAATTCTGAACAGGCCCTCGATGTAAAGTATTTTCTTAAGCAGCTATTATACAGATTCACCCTTTCTACCTAATGTTTCTAAGGCCAGCCGGTGTCCCCAAGTCCTTGCTAATCATACAGTTCCCCATCCAGAGGTCTTAAATGGGCCCAAACCGCCACTTAGTAACTGAATCGCTTTGGAAAGGCAGGCGGCTGCGATGGCACTCAGGAGGAGGCCGCCTGCACTGTATAAGAGAGGTGGGGAACCGTAAGCCCCTGGGAAGAAACAGGGGCTCCCTTAGGGTCCCAAAATGGCCCCCCAGGACTCCCCCAGAACACCCATGTTTCCTTTGTCACAATGCCATGGTTCTGCTTTTGTAGAGGTTTTCCCCTTCACTAGAAGACCAGAATGGCATTCTTAAGGCTTAATTATTGCCAGTAAGAACGTTAAACTTAAATGCACTGGCATTTTTCATCCTGCATTTGATCCCTAGGTGCCCCCCCGGTGCCCTGAGGACTTCTCTGAAAAGGGATTCAGTCTGGATAGTGGCTGAGGTTTCCCCTTCCAGCTGAACACAAAGCGTCTCTTGACTGCAGCAAAGGGAGCATCTTGCAGAAGAGAGTAGCCCACGACTGTGACCCTTTCACTCTTACACTCCTGCAGTGAAGAAAAGTTATCTTCCTTAAACCATCTCCATGATAATTTTATTAATGTCAGTTCTGACAGACTCAGGAGAACGTTTAGGGGGCAACAGATTTTGATGGTGCGGTCTTTCTCTTTCACTTAATGAGGCTTTTTTTAAAAAAATCAGCCTCCAGAGAGATATGCTTGCCAACATTTGATAAAACAGGATTGATGAACAGAGAAACTAACTTTCAGCTATGCTGTTAGCCTGCACTCAGGAGAGAGAGAAAAAACAGCCAAGGATCTGAGCAAGATTGCGGAATTGAAAAGTTATTCCCTAAATAACACTACACAGCTTCTAAAAGCATCTCTGGAGGGGCGGCCATGAAGAACACCCTGTTGGAAGAACAAATCCACTGAACACCTTCATTAAAAGAGCATCATTTTGGACTTAACAGTGTAATAGGTCCCAAAGCAAACCAGAAGCTGGGTTGCATCTTGACCCACAAACCAATCTTCTTGCGTGTCAGAGCTTAGAAAAGTTACCTTTTGAACAAGCCTCAGAATTCCCCAGAATGACCACACTGGCCAGGAGGCATCATCCAGAAAAATAATTTCCCCAAGGTCCACTTGGAATGAGGCCTCATAAATAGGCTGAGCCTCATCTCATGGCTACCAGGAATTTTGGGCGTTAAGTGCACCTTTTCAGGAGAAAGCCGCCTTATGCTGGGTCAGACTCAGGGTCCATTACACTCAGTGTTGTCAACACTGGCCACCAGCGACTGCCGCGCTGAGCTTCAGGCAAGGCAAGCACCACTTTGCAAAAGCAAGCAAACAAACAACCCACTCACTTTGCTGTTTTGCTATCCCAACAGCCTAGCAGAACAGCTGGGGCTGAAGAACCCAGCCTTGGGATAGATACCCCAAGCAAACAGCAAAGGGAGGTATCCCCTCGTGAAGGGCACCAGTAAAAGGGCAAACAGGCTTCTGTTCAGGGAACCTATATCATAACTAAAAAGTTGGACAGGTCCATCAACACGGGGGGAGGTAAGCTCCAAGCTCTTGAGATGCCTGAAGACCACAAAACAATATGTAGACTGAGTGCCTCCTGCCCATCCCTCTACAGCTACGCCCACATCTTATGCTCTGTTCCTACTAGCGGTCTTCTTCCACCCTATGCCAGCAGAAAGCAGGTAGACAGAAAGGACCAGAACGCCACAACTACCAACTTGGACTGATTAGAAGACAGCCAGGTAATGCCGGTAAAGAAGAGGCAACCTCGATCCATGCGCCTTGCTTCCACAACCCAAAATGCGCTGGCATCTTAAGAATTTTAAGTATCTCCTTTTACCTCCCACTAAATATGTGACTGCTGGAAGAAAGGACATGGGCCTGCCAGGAGGAGGTGTTTCAAAACGGGGTCGGGCTGAAAAATAAAAAGAGAAAGGAGGTGTCTTTTCCAACAGCGAAATAAATAAAAGGCCTCTCCGTTCACAGCGAATCGCAGGCTTCCTAGAAGGCAACAAGCAGCAAACGTGCAGATCCGTAAAGTAACTCGGGCTGTCGGTGAATCAAAACGGGGAAACGATGGTGCCGTTTTAGATTATTTTAACAGAGTGTACAAATCACCCACACTTCGAGAGTGTTTTGTTTGACAAAACAAACACAGGATAACTGGAAAATGAATAAACAAACAGCTAGAGTCGCTACTATCAAAAGACACCATTCACATATTTAAAAAATGCTAAAGTTAATGTTTATCTCTCATTTCCTATGAAGGTGTATGTGACTGGAATCCAGGACCAACAGACAGAGGGAAGCAACGGGAAGGCAGAGACCCCTCCTTCCTAGAGCTACTCACCAGGAGCACCACTTAACCAAGGAAGGCTTGTGGTTTATTGCTCCACCAGTCCACGCTCACATAAGGCAACACAAAGGTCTTCAACGCCCCTGGAGGCATGATCCGCATCCGTGCGTTCGGAGAACCCGCCGGAAGCTGGGCGAGACCCTCGCTGTAGGATCCGCCTGCGAGTGCTTTGACAATACTATTGCACTGCTAGCCGGGAAGTACAGTAGTGCAATGAAGTCAGAGCGCTCGGCGGCGGCAAGGCGCTTCGGCAAGATGGCGGCACGGGACACTCCTCTTACACGGACAGCCGATGAGGAAGGAGGCGGGGATTTAAATTGACTTGATTTAAATCAAATCCACCCTGCCCAGAATTCCCTAGCCAGTTAACGTACCAGCTAGGGAATTCTGGGAATTGTAGTCCAAAACAATGGAGCAATGTTTCCAAGCTTTAGCAGTCTGTTGGTGGTAGCATGGTCTTCTATGATGGAGCAATGTTTCCAAGCTTTAGAAGAAGTCTGTTGGTGGTAGCATGGTCTTCTATGGAGCGGTGACTCTAGACACGTCAAGTTTTTAATGACAGACAGGAAGTGACATATGGACACACACAAAAACATACATGACCAAAAGAATAACCTTCTGATGAGCAGGAAGGAATCCTTTGATCACCGGGAAAGATGCCGCTCTTTTGTCACAGACTGATGGATCAGAAAGTAATGATATCGTTATGCACAGTCTGGTCATTTTAATGTCCTTGTTTACACCGCCACTATCAGACATGTGAAGTATAGTTAGCAGGGACGTGGAAGAAGGGGGTAGAAGAACTCATACTTCCCTTCAAGTTGTGTTTTAGCTGACTGAGCATTACTGGCCAATGCCCTTTTAACATTGCACTGCTTTCTGCGCATGTTCACTAGTAGTACAACATAAAAAGGGCAGTGGACAGATACCTCTCGGCATCCAGATATAGAAGTAGCCAGGCTCAAAAAAAGAGAACTTTGTAAGCTGTGAAAGTCTTCAAGAAAACATTTTGAGGCTTCTTTAAAAAAAGGGTAGAAAGGTACTTTGTTGGTTTTCCGAACAGAGAAGCTTGAAACACTGTAAAAATGGCAAACGTGTCCAGGCTCAGCATCTAACCACATAATATACGCCATGCTTTGCAAATTGGAAGGAAGCGCTATTTTAAGGCACTTTATTTTCAGAGCAAAGAAATCCATCATGTTGCTTTCAAAATACGTTGGCATATGTTCACATATACAGTATCTGTCTTAAGAGAACCCTGATTATTTTCTACCTACACCGTATCGAGCAAGAAAAAGACAGGAGTATCTCTCCAATATAGGCCTCAAGACCATGTGCCGGCAAGGCCTTACAAAACCTAATATCCTCTGGATGTTCTGAGTAGGGAATATGTGGCCCTACCAACCCGCTCGATGGCAATTCTACCCCTTCCCTTTAGGGCAGAGGTAGGATTGGGCTCATTCTCTATAGGGCAGGAGAAACCATTTCCCCACATTTGGAGCAACGCAGACCCATATCATTCTATAGAAGGGGGTGTGCTTTTTCCAAAACTGGCTGCAATTTTCTAGTTGCTCCCAGTTTTGAAAAAGGAACACCCCCCCTCCCCACAGCATAAAACAGATCACAGTGGGAAAACGTGGGGAAATTGCTCTTTGCACCCTCTAGAGGGTGCAACGAGACTTCTAAGGCCAGTTAGGAAGTCTGCTATGACCAGTGGGCCACACTTTGCCCACACCAATGGGAGCAGCACATTAGAGCCACAGCCCACCCACATCCGGAGGGCTACCTGTCACTCACCCCTAATGTAAAGAAACAAGACTAAGACTGTTCCCCAGAGAACACCAAGGAGGTATCAGACTCCAGATCTCAAAATATCTGCCGGAAGCTTAGGAAATAAAGAGACTGGATCAATATAAAAGACACACACAAGTTGACCTTTCCTACTGACGGTGCCAGCAGAAAAGATCAGACACAGAGCAGGAGGCCATTCAAGAAGCACAAACTCTAAGCTAAAATGGCACATCATGTCCATCTTTCGTTACAGGGAAGAAATTATGTTCTGGTGATAGCGGGACAAAGCTACACTCCATAAGATCAGCTGGTGTTCTTAGTGTACACTTTTTTTAAAAAAAAGATCTTTCAAAATGCCTATTTTAAATCTAGACACTTTCATGACATTTGGGATCTTCAGCACACATGTTCAGAAATCCCCATGGCCACGGTGGAAGAAAAGTGGAACTCGGAATTTTTCAGGCTGCAAATATTGTGCACAAGCACAAATACAAGCCTGTCACAGGGACGCAGTCTGGCCGAATCATTCTTTCAGCGATCCAAATGAATTTGGACAGCCACGTTTAACGCCAAGCCATCCGGGCAGAGGAAAATGGAAAAGCCTCGCCATTTGTAAAGGAGGAGAAAAGTAGCAGCCAGACACCTCAAACAGAAGGGACAAAGGCCCCAAAATACTTCCATACATAACACTTGTAGAAAGAAAGAAACAAACTAACCCGAGTGGACTCAGCCACTTTTTGCTCAGATCTACAGCCAAGTTCTATAAATATTTTCAACTTACTGTTCTGTCCCTGGAATGCTTAAAATTTAGCTTCACCAAGAATGAAGCGATCAACAGCCACTGGTTCTTACAGTTACATCCAGCATCCAGGGCCTTACCATATAGACATGGCTGGCCAGGGTTCAAGCTTGGGCTAGAGATGCCTTTGAGCCAATCCAGAAGTGTCCCCTTTATCTTCTTAACTGAGCATCAAGGGATTATTATCAAAGGCAGAATATATATTATCACCAAACTGTAACTAAGCTTTCCTAACGTAGCCAAAGGGACTGAAAACTCTATTTGTATTTACTTCTAAATTTCTCCCCCTCCTGTTTTTCTCCATTTCCCCACTTTGAGATTGTAAGTACCAGAGAAGCTTGCTTCTCTCACTTTATTCGTTATGCTAATTATCTTATTCTTTCTCCAGGGAGCCCGAAGCAGCTCAAGTGACTCTGGCCCACACCATTTTATCCTCACCAAACAACTTTATGAGGTAGGATGTTCTGAAAGACAGGAACCGCCGGGCAAGAGTATACAGGTATGGGCCCAGCTCATATTTACATTGGTACTTCTAGGGCACCCCCTTGAAAACTCATATACTGTATAATGAGCGCTTCGTTTAACGACAAATTAGGTATGGGGTCAGCTCGTATTTACATCGGTATTTCTAGGGCACCCCCTTGAAAACTCATATTAAAACTTGTAGAATATGTGGCAGTGCATTAGGGAAGGAAGCTGGGATGTTGGCTGTTTTTTAAATGTTTAAAAATGTTTAGAATGCTTGAAATCATAAGTGCACTTAATAAACCCTTTGTTAAACTAATTTGACTTTGTTCCGACTCTTTTTTAATTTGTTGTTGAATTTTTCCCCCCATTGAGATGCATTGAATAGGTTTCAATGCATTTCAATTGGGGAACCGCGTTTCGCTTAGCGATGTTTCCTATGGTGATTTTCACTTAAGGACGGCAATTCGTTCCTATTGGAACAGATTATCTGGTTTTCAATGCATTTCAATGGGAAACCGTGTTTCACTTAGCGATGTTTTCCCATAGTGATGATTTTTTTGGAACCAATTAAAATCGTTAAGCGAGGCACCACTGTACTGTATAACACTTGTAGAATACATGGCAGTGCATTAGGGAAGGAAGCTGGGATAGTAAAATGAACAAACAATATTGTGTGCCGTCAAGAAAATTCTGACTTATGGAGGCCCTTTTTCTAGGTAGAGAATTGGTTTATCCTCCTTTCTCCTGGGAACCTCCTGGGAATGTGCAGTTTGCCCAAGGCCACCTAGGCTGGCTTTACTCCCAGGAGGCACAATGAGGAACTGAGCTCCCAAACTCTTGGCTTCCTAGCCAGGTTTTCTAAGCCACTGAGATCTCCAGCCAGCCTAAAATGAACAATGCCAATTAGAAATACACACAGGAACCCCAACGCTGAATAGTAGGCAAGTGAAACTGACACGTACGGAAAAGAAAACAAGTTAGATGCATAGAGAAGGCAGAGACCGAGCACGAAGCACAGCATCTGCTCTACAAATTATTAATAACTGCTATTATACAGGTATTAATAATGTGCTGTTGTTGTTATAACTTAAGATCAACACAAACTTCATTTTTACTTTTAAAAAAATCCAGTCAGACCCCAGTCTCTTTCATCTACCTCCTTGCAGCCACCTGCTCCTCCTTTAAAACAGCCATTATATCTCCGGAGGAAGGAAAGAAAGATACAGTAGAGACAATTACTTTTTTTAAAAAATGGACCAGCCCAACAAGCCACTCCCCCTCGGCGGCTAGAATGGGCTCTCCCGTTAGGCCCCGCCCCCGGCGAGGAAAAGCCACGCCCCCGAGAGCAAGGCTGGAGAAAGAAATGGACCGGACCGATACACGCCCCCTTTTTTGTCCTCCCTCTCGCTCTCCCTCCCCCCCGCGAAGGGAATAGACTGGCCATACGGAACGTTCTCTTCCTGCCCTTCCCTGCGCCCTGTGAGAAATGGTTCGGTCCAGTGAGGGGGGGAGGGAAGGATATATTCCCTCATCC